CTTAGAAGGATATTGCAGATTTTCTTATTGTTAGCAGCCTGTGCATTTGCATTTGCAAGGCCATTGTTTCAACTAGTGGTTTGAAAGGACGTTACAAAAAAAATAAAGGAACAAAAAAAAAGGAAATTTAAGCCCCATTTTCACTAAAATTAATCTTTGTAGAACTTTAATTCACATGAATACTTTTCAAGGGAAAAAAAAGTCTTTCACACTACATTCTCTAGATGAGTAAAAATAATTTGTATGAAAAGCATATTTTTGTTGCATTAGCTTGAATGTTCTTTTTCCATTGTAGCCTACGATCCACCTGACTCAATCTTTCACTCATATTTTGTGACAATTATGAATGTGATACAATGTGAACTACTACTTTTTCTCCCCAGAAAACAACCAAAAACATCCTACACTGGCATTTTCTGCAATCTAAATAGGCTCAAATGTGCATGCCAATTAAAGCAAACTTCTAGGTGTAGGGCAGGAATGTGACCTAAAGTTTTTGAGCCATTCCTTCTTCTCTGTCACACAACTGTGCAAGTGGTTTTCAAAGCTTTACAAGCAAAATGTTTTCTCATTTTCCTTGTTATTACAGGTTATTCCATCATTACAGTTCTTGTAATGTAACATTCAACTGAATTTCATCTTTCTGTCAAAAGGAATGACAACCATTACCTATATATAAATATTGTATAGTATTCTGAGATTTCCCTTCATTTTCTTTAGTGAAGTGAAACCCTGAGGTATCTTCTCATCTCTTTGTATCTAAGCTGATGTTAATTTTGGTGAACTGCATTTATCGATGGCTGTCAGCCCCTTAGTTCACTGCAGAATCACAGAAACTGCATCTGAAATCTCTTACATTCCACTTTTTTTGGAGCACTAGAATTATCTTAATTTGTTCTGCATCTAAAGACTGCAATCAGATCTTCTTCTTTATGCCCAAAATCACACGATGTAATGTGGATCATTTTCCAGATGTCGGTGTTTGACTCAGCAGCTGGTTGGCTGGTGATGACAGTTAGTTACCAGTGAACTTTGAACTGTAAACATGAGTTAAAACCACACAAGTATTAGACAGCTGTAGCCTTAAAATGTTGAAAAATATTACATTTTAAATGCAACAAACAGGAGATGAGATCATTTCAAATTAGTCAAAATTGTCCACAAATCCAAAATGAACACTGGTCATTTGGTCGTTTGGACTCTGAGACCAATCAGTTGCTGTAGATGGCACAGCAGTGAGCTGTGTTGATGAGGTTGTTGAGGTTGAGGTGAGCAGATTCATCTTTTGTGACATTTAACTGTCAGCTCTGTCCTAAAACACAAGCAATCACAGCATGTTTCAAAGACATAATTTAATATTTAATATATCTTCCACATAGAGAGGATCAATGAGCACTTCTAATAGAACAAACATTTTTGTCCAAGTTCCAGTGTCAGCAATCACGTGACATCAGACACACTTTTGATTCTAAAGGAGATCACTGTCACAGTGGGGAGGCTTTGATGACACAACAACACATTTATGTGGACAGTTCTGAAAGCATATGAAAGGCAGCCACTGGATTACAGGCAGGGAGAAATAATACGTTTTGCAATGTTTGCTGCAGGCCATGAGTAGGAACAAAATGGATAACCTTCATCATGTTCTCACTGAGCCATTAATCACACTATTTTATGTTTTTAAGCTTGAACAAAACGAAGGAGCTCTTCTTATTTTTAGGAGAATGCCATTGTGTTTTCACATATGTGAATATGTGATAATATATGTGAGACAATGACATTTTCATAAAAATGCACTTCCATTCTGAGCTAAGAAGCTACAGTGAAAGATCTTTATTTGTAAATTTGTATCAGTTATAACAGTGACAGCCAGTGCATGTTATGTTTAAGGGCAAAAGAAGGAACAACACGTCTACATGGCTTCTGTAATAAAACAGCAGTCAATGAATTTGCTCCAATTAAAGCCACACGATACTGAAATATTACAAAAAATGTCTAATTAAAAGCTGATGGGCTCTGACAAATTCACCTGTATTGTCATGTAGCGAGAGGCAGATAAAACTAGAAATCACAGCTTTATTGTTGTCACAAAAGGCAATGGGAAAAAAGCTAAACTATAACAGAGCATGGAAAGATCTAGCTGACTGACTACAGACCAACAACAAGCTGAATTGACAAACAAACTGAATTCACACACACAATGAGGGAGAATGTGATGATGAACAGAGGGAGATGCAAACAATATACACACAGGAGGGTGATTAAGGAAAGCGGACACACCTGGAGAACACAGCTTAAAAGAATCATAACTAACAAGACAGGGGAAGCAAAGCAGAACATCACATCCACAAGACACGAGACTCAAAAGAAAACAGGAAGTAACACTGACACAGACACACACACAGAAACTCAAGACTAAGACATGTGAAGTTGACACTGGGACTGGGAACATGCACAGAGACGTTTACAAACTGGGGAGACAAAGGGACGAAACACAGAGAGATGAACATGGGAACAGGAAGGGAGAAAACACAGGGCCAGGACTACAAAGGTATTCACAGAGACAGAACACAGAGAGACCAGGTAGAAACAGGGACATGACTGGGGAGAAAGGAAGTAAACAAACACAGGGACACTGATGACAGGATACTGAGATGAGACAGAGATAGATTGGAAACGAATGGGAACAAAGATAAAACAAGAACCAAGAGTTTAAAATAACAAACTTGGAACACTAGTGAAATACAGAACTCAAAACGAATACAAAATTTGAATATAAACGTTTAATACATTTAAAAGAATGAATAAAGAGTCCAGAACAACCTTAAAAACTGGGTCGAAGACCCAAGACCATGACACGTATCAGAAGATGTTCTCTGATCTTCTTTAGGGTCCTAGATCCAGTATCAACAAAAAGAAGAGCTGTAATGTGTATGGATCCGAAATTAACCAGACAACATGCATGCATCAAGTGCAAGAAACACACAGCAAAATGAAATGTTATGACTATGATTTCTGTCCCCTAAAGGAGAGAAATGAGTTGTCGTTGCCCCCACACTTGGGGGCTGACCCTTATAAATGTCACTTCTCAAATGGTAAACAGCTGCCACAGATCTGGGTGGATCATCCCTCTTCCCACCTGAGAGAGGAGGTCCCTGTAGCTGCCAGACTGATTATCTCTGCATATCATGGCCACTGACAAGCCTTTAGAATCAGAAAACAGCTCCGCTGACACACTCTCCTTTGAATTGGTGGTATCATTTACACTGGGGGAAATGCACACAGCAGAGAGTGATACAGCTTTAACAGGGAAAGGCGTACTTACTGAAGCTGCTATGAGTCCTATCATGCAGAAAGGCTAAGGTGCTCCTCTCTCAGTGAGGAATTAATGCTATCTTCATAAAGATGTAGGGAGCAAAAAGATAACTTCACCAGGCAGCAGCACCAGGAATTTGTAGGATTATGCTGTTGAATGCATATGCACATATCAGCAACTGTTTGCGGTCCACATCTATGGCCACTTGAAAAGAAGTATCTGTTAGATCAATTGCTTTATACCAATCCCCTGGTCCAACTGCTGTTGGACTTGGAAGGAGCTTCCTACACTCAGAAGGGAGAAGGTCCACCCGACCGACAAGCACTGCACAAAACACTGATTGTATTTTCATCTGTTGGTAACTAAAAATAGTAAACACAAGATTCAGTTGCTGTGTTTGACAGTGTACTCCTCTTCATAAAGGATTCTTTTTTATTTTGGATTTGACTGACATCTGGTTGATGAGTAGTGCCACTTTTCTTTTTTATAGCCTGTCAAAAGCCTGTTGAGCTGTCGTTTCATTTTGACAGCCTGCAAGTATCAGAGCCCACTTTTTTTTCTTTATAATTTCCAAAAGTCTCTGAACATGGCATGTTTACATCTTGTCTTTTATACTGATGTCCATTAACATGCACTGTGCCTGCTAAATAACAGAAAGGTCATGCAGAATGTCCAGTCAGTCAGACATATTTGTATTTGCTGAAATAATCGCAAACTGAGTGCTGCCACAAAGCAGACTACAGACTGTTCTCAGAGAACAGCGATATAGGCAGTGGAAGTGTGCTTTCTACAGAAAATCCGATACTTGTGCAATAATCATATCTTTTATTTCTGCAAAACTCATCTTTTTTTAAATACATGTGTTGCAGGTCTTGTCGTATCATGCCTCTGCTGCAGATGAAGAATCACGGGAACTCCAGGTAGCTGAAGTAAATTGAAATGCATTAATTTAACATTATACACTTAGCATGGAAAGACAGAAACACAGGCAGGTGATGTTGTTAAGAGAAAGAAGAAGTAGGCTTTGTGTAGAAATAACATCTTAGGCTGAATCAGTAAGAAAGTATGGGAACTACATGGGCCCAAAGATATTTGGCATGTAGACTGAAGCAGACGGGGATCAAACCATCAGCCTTCCAGTTAGCAGGTGATCTGCTCTACCACCTGAGCTACAGCCATCCATGACTGAGTATCTCAGAGATAAGATGAGATACTCAGTCATTTGGGAGAGGCTTAAAGTAGAGTGGCTACTCTTCCACATCAAAAACAGCCACTTTTGATGGTTCTGGCATATCCTGGATTCCTCTTAGGTGACATGTTTTGGATATGCTAAGGATATGCTGGATAGATTATCTATCTATCAGTGGGATTTGTAATGCCACAGTTAGGGATGGGTATTGATAAGATTTTCACGATTCCGATTCCATTTTCGATTCTGTTTAACGATTCGATTCTTTATCGATTCTTTTTAAAAAAGGAGAACACTAAAGTCGATTAGCTTAGAACTTTGTTTTATATCTTCTCTTTGAACAAGACAGACATTTAGGAGTAACATGGCCTTACAAACCCAACAGTGAGATCTTAAGAGATCCACAGCCTACGGCTCTTCAATGGGGTGTCACAGGGTCCCCAGGAAAAAAATTGTAAATGTAAAATAATAAAATAAATATTCTTCTGTAGCAATAACAAAGTATAACATAAATTATTCTGTAGTAATTACACAAGAATATCCAGTAATGTCCCTGCCTACAATTAAACACATTCACTTACTGAAAATCGGGGGCATCTGCTGTGGCAAAGCCTTTTACCACAAACTTAGTCACTGCTGACATTCGTCTATCCTGGCCTGAAAGGAGACGCTCCCAGTAGACTGCAGCGGATTCTGAGCCAGCCAGACTCTGTCTGTCTCTCTCATCATGGTCACCTAAATGCACAGTAATGGCAGGGTTTGTAATAAGGCAGATCTCACTAACATAATATGCGCTGTTAGTTGATTATTTACCTGCCGCATTAACGGGGACATGCAAACGTTACTGCTGCTGCTGGGTCGAGATTCACGAGTCCGGAGCGGAATTAAAAACACAACATTCATTTAAGGTCATCGCGTGTTTTGTGAGCAAATGCTTTTGCATATTCGTAGTGTTTTCTCCCTTAAATGAAATATCTACTTTGCAAGTTGCCCTGTTGTCATCCGTTCTCGTAAAGTATAACCAAACTTTTGAGCGTTGAGCTTAGGCGCCGTTTCCTGTCAGGTAAATGACGCTCCACAACGTGCTGACGTCATTCGGGGGGACTGTAATCGATAAGGGAATCGTTTGCAAAAATGGCAACAATTCCAAGGAATTGAAACGGTGGGAACCGGTTCTCAACAAGAACCGGGTTTCGATACCCATCCCTAGCCACAGTATCCCCCTGGAACACATGGAGGAGAATGAATTGACGGAGGGATGGAGTTTTGAATCCATGTGTCTTGTTTAGGGGGACATTAGCACTTAATTTGATAATGTTGGTGGTAATATCTGGTGATAATATATACTTCTCTTCAATGGAGTTGGATCATGAATATGATTCTTTCTACTATTAGTATTTTGTGTCTAATTTAAATATTTTTGAGCAAATCGTGTATGAATGAACCCCACAAATCAACCAAAAAAAGAATAAAGGATATTCCAAGTGATTTTGAGTAGCTCATTTGTAGCATCTAACTGGCTCATTGACTTCAAGGTACCTCTTAAAATATGAACCAATTAGAGCAGCCCATCTTCCCCACCAGCACTAACAGTGGCACTGCTTGACCATCTGAAAGGGTCCTGCTCTCTTCCCCTCTCCTTATAGCGAACTGGCTGAACTAATAGCATAGCCTGATTAAGTGTCCTCCCTTGGGCACAAGAGAGAGGATGTGTCACTTGGTAACTAGGACACAGAATTGATTATTTTGGTACATTCTCTACTCAAGAGGTAGCTACATACTGTATATTTGGCACATTGCACACCTCGTAACTGCATTTTAAATTAAAGTTGCTTCTGTAACAGCAACAGAATTAAGAATTGAGATTTGAATCTGATTAATATGTAATCATTAGTCTTTAGTTCAACTATATAATGCAGAATTTCTGAATTTGAAGCCTGTTGTTTTTCCTGCTGTTTGCATGTATATATTCTGTGTGTGTTTGAAGTTAGCAACCATTCCATCAGCCCAGTCGCTCCATCTTCTGGACTTCAGCTTCAGTGACTTTGACTTGTCAGATACTGAAACCACGCTGGCTACTGTGCGGATGTTTGTTGACCTCAACCTGGTCCAAAACTTTCAGATGAAGTACACGGTAAGAACTGACCGGGGATTTTACACAAACAGGTTAGACTTAACATGTGCTCCATTAAAATCCATGAGAACTGCAAACTTGCTTTAAAAAATACCACTCAGGCCTTTGTTTCAGAGGCAACTAAGGTGATGCTCTGTTCCCACTGCTCTTCTGCATAGGCCTCAACCACCTAAGCCAGCTCATCACTTAGAATGAATACAGATATAGATTCAGTACTGATTTAGGTCAAGCTGAGTGACCACTAGTCACCTCCTGTACAAGCTCTATGCCAGTAAGACTTACTGATTCACCTCACCAGCCAAATGTTTGCAAAAAGAAGAAAGGGGATCCGGATTGAAGGGATGAAGTTCTCAGAAGGGAGAATAGCAGATGTAGAGGACAGCTTCAACTACCTGGGTATCCCACAGGCCAACAGGAACCATGATGAATATGCACTAAGTTAAGCCACAGCCAAATAAGGTAAGACAGGTGCTAAGAAGCCAGTTGAGTGTTCGGAATAAGAATCTGAGCCATCAGTACATACATCCTACCAGTCATCAGATACCCTGCAATAATAAGCTGCCAAAAGGAGGTTATTACTATGTCAACGCACAAGAATTCCCCACAGTGCATGGTAGTCTTCAAGCAACAAGCAACGGAAGGAGGGAAGTCAACGATTAATGAGTGTCCAAGCTACAATTCAGGATGAAACACTGATCATACACAAATAAATCAGGAAGATGGCACCCTGAGTTGAGCTGCTACAAAATGCCTCAGGCAGCTTAAGACAGAGAGTGACAGGACGTGGAACAGAATAAAAACAGAGTTGGTCCAGTGTTCCACAACCGGGATGAAAACCGCATTGTTCCTCCTGTATCCGCGGTTTGACTAACTGACGGACTCTCCCTTCCAGCATCCTGGCATAGACTTTCCTGAGGAGGCTGACGAGTGTGATCCCCCTATATTTGGAGCACACCCTCTGGTCCCCCTTCTTGAACATGGAAACCACCACCCCACTCTGCCAATCCAGAGGCACCGCACCAGATCTCCTCAAGACATTGCAAAGGCATGTTAACCAAGACAGCCCTGCAACATCATGCAATGGAGGCGCTCAACATGCTCCATTTGGACTCAGTGTCCCCAGTCTCCCTCAGAATGTTGCCGAAGCTCTAACAGAGGTGAGAGTTGAAGCTCTTGTGGACCAGGGCCTCAGCTAGGCATTCCCCATCTCACCCTCACTATATGTTTGGGTGTATCAGGTCTGTCCAGCGTCCCCCCCGGCCACCTAATCCAACTCACTACCAGGGGATGATCAGTCGATATATCTGATGATATCATTACAAAATCGACCACTGACCTGGTGCCACATGGGGTTTATTAGGGACAAACTGTGGTTTGGACAGAAGTCTAGTAACAGAACACTGCTTGGTTTCAGGTCAAGGATTGTTCCTCCCAGTCACGCACTCTAGGTCTTATTGTCATTGCCCAGATGAGCACTGAAGTCTCCAAGTAGGACGACAGAGTTGCCGGGTGGATCATCCTCAAGCACACCACCCAGGCACTTGAAGGAGACCAGGTACTCTGAACTACCATTTTGCATATAAGTGCAAACAACAGTCAGTACCCGTTCCTTGACCTGGAAGCACAAGGAACAAACCATCTTGTTCACTGGGAAAAAAACAAGATACTGGCAGCAAGCTGGGGGATAACAGGATACCCACTCCAGTCACCCGGCTCTCACCAACGGCAACTCCAGTCTGCCACAGAGTCCAGCCCCTCTCCAGGAGACTGATTCCAGAGCCCAAACTGTGCATGGAGGTGAGCCCGACTGTATCTAGCCAGTATCTCTCAACCTCACGCACTAGCTCAGGTTCCTTCACCACCAGAGAGGTGGCGTTCAATGTACCTGTCGGCAGCCTCGGTAGTCGGGGATCAGTCCAGCTTGAGGGTCCTGCTCAGTCTCTTTGCTATTCCCAGG